AATAAACAACACAAAAGTGAATATTAAACGTAACTTATTTGCACAAAGTAATTATTAATATTTATTTATTATTAACCTGATTGAATATACTGTCTTTATCTTATTAATCCGATTGAATCTGCTGTCCATAATGTGTTGTCGATTGTTTAAGATGCACCAGCAATTGCGAAACAGGAAGCAACACACTCTATAAATTCAAATCAAGTTTAATTGAAAATAAGTACGTGTAAATATTAATTAATAATGTTCTATTATTTGCGTCTGATTACCATATTAACATTTTCCATCGAAGCCAAATAATAGGTCAAAAATACTTTCACACAATGCCAATAGAAATGATTGTGGACATGTCACTTTCCCAAACGTATGTACAAATATGTTCAATAATAATATATTCAATATTAACTACAAAAAGACTAAAAGAAGCAAAAATATTATTCATTAGTGTTTTGCCTGATATTAAAATTAGTAATTTTATTTCATTGGTTGTTTTGGAAATGAATAATATCATAAAATTGAAAATTTTCGTAATTAATAACTTTAATAATTATTAGTATTATTATTAAAATTAGGTTTTGAAGGCATTGTCATTCGCGGCTACAAAGCATAACATTTGGAAAAGAGTACTTCCTGTTCTGGACATGAAGATTATCTGGGGCTAAAGAGGCAGAAAGAATGATAATTTTCTCTTGATACTCTGTTCGTTCGCTAGCCATCACGAAAAACGCGGTACCATCCTGTTTTAACATAAAGATCTTCTCCTGCTTTGATTGCTCGATAATGTGATCGATCATCGTCGAGACATCGTATTTTCCAATATCATGCCAACTATACGTATAGATCAATTACTGTCGAAATACAATGACTTGATCTCTGCAAATAAATCTTGACGAATGATTATTCAAATTATGCCTCAACTTCCAACAATCTGGGTCTAAAGTGAGTATCCGTGAGTATCTGATGCCACGCACATTACCCATCCATACATCCCTGATCTGCTAATATAAAGCTCAAAATTTGAGAAAAAGTATTGATTAGGTATTCTGTTTTTTCCTTAGAAACGAAATAAATGATGTTAAATGGCAAAGATTAGAAATTAGATAGCAAAAGGTAATTCAGATTTTTTTAAAGTTACGAAGAGTGATAAATAATATATATGTTAAAAGAAAATGTATATGTTAGAAAAAAATAAGAAAATATCTAATTAATAATTGTACGTATAAAATTTTATAATTTCCTTGTCCAACATTATTGAACTATTTTGAAAAGAGAGAGGAAGAAGCAAGTGATTAATTTGATAATATGTACCTAAAGCTTTTTCAGCACTTGCCAAAAGCCACATAGGTGAGGCATGTAGAAGTCCATGAAGAAATAATGCAGCTATTTTGTTATCAGACGGAGGACTTTTCTTCGATCCTGCGATTCTGTCCAGTTGCAGGATATATCCATCTTGTGTAATAACTTTGTAAGTTTCGGCTATGTATCCCGCTTTATGCGCGAACTTTGTCCAAAAAATGCTTGCATTCATTCCTATGTATGTAACTGGAAGTTATATTGACACTTTCACAGGAAGCTTCAATTATACTTCACTTTGATTATCCAATAATAATAAATGCACAGAAATATATAAATAATATAATAAAATAGTTAAAATAGTAATTATTTAGATTGATAAAATTTTAAGAAGATTATTATATTATAAAATTTCTACGTTATTAATAATGTTTCTCTTGCTGTTTCAAAAGTAATAAAATATGCTTACGGATAGCAAGTTAATACCAGTAAAGTTTACGTACGGGAGTCAAAGCTTCATGGTGAGAGATGACATTTACTATTTTGTTTATCTCTCGCTGTATAAGATGTACTCCTAAGATTATTGGCAGTACGCAAAAAAAAAAAAATAAATAAATTTTGTCAAGGATGTATCATGCTACATAACTGAACATAAATAGGTTAACACTTTTTTATGGAGAATAATCAGATAATCAGATAAATTAATGTATTTGAAATCTCCTCTAGAAAAGTAGCATTAATATCACATTAATGTGCTCCTTTGTACCAAACAATTTCTGTAGGAGCATTTTCTCATAGCTTTAATTTCTTGTGTTATTTCCATATTGCGAGATAAACGGGACATCCTGTGTGTCACCAGTTCTTATGTCAAAAAATAGCGAATTAAATCTCTATCAATTATCAATGTCCAGACCGATCTTTCGATTAAAAATATACAGTACGTCCGTTTTAAATGTCTAAGTATTGTTATTTCTCTAACTACCAGAAATACGAAAAACGTTGGAAATTGCACGATATCGAAGGTGATACATGAACGTTATCTCAGTTCGACTCTGAATTCCCCATTATAGTCAGATTTAAGTTTTTCAATAATATCCTATATTTTGCATATTCTTATAGATAATTAATATATATTTAAAACACTAGCTCACTTACACTTCTCATAAATGTTTGTTTAATCGTGGTTCCAAACGAACGATCTTGTGCATATATATATTTCAAAGTAATGTAGTATCGAAACTATTATAACGTGTAGTTATGTTTTTAGTTATTTTTACCTGTAACTGATGGCCTGTTTGCTGAAGATGTGTGAACGAGAAAGTGTGAATGTGATCTGAAAAGCATAGCGTTAGTATCGAGAGCTTTTCATTTTGAAAAGAGGAAAGTCGTGCAAGTGGAAAACAGTCAGGCAGAGTCGTGAAAGAGCGTTGAATGAGAATGGTCTAAAATAGTCAATTGTGTCGTTTGAGTTTATTTGAATTATTGTTGTTTGGGTCCTTTATCTTGTGTTTATTACCTGTTGTTTCGTTTCCGTTTTCTTTTTCTTT